CCTGGGCCCACAGTGGTTAAGTGCGCACGCTCTGCTTCAGAGGCCTGGGGTTTGCAGGTTCGGATCCTGGGCGCGCACCAATGCACTGCTTGTCAAGCCATGCTGTAGCGGCGTCCCATATAAAGTGGAGGAAGATGGGCACGGATGTTAGCCCAGGGCCAGTCTTCCTCAGCAAAAAGAGGAGGATTGGCATCAGATGTTAGCTCAGGGTTGATCTTCCTCACCAATGAAATAAAATCCTCTTTCTGTTTTACACGTTTACTTATTGACTTGGTCCCTCTTCTTTCCCGCCTGTGAACTCCAGGAGAGCCTGATCTTGTCTGTCTTCTCCACTGAGACATCACTGGTGCCAAGAACAAAACCTGTCTCAGAGTCAGTGCTTAATAATATTCATTGAGCAAACAAATGAGTCCAAACAACCTCATTGCTCCCATTGACTGAATTTCTAAGTAAGTATTATAAATATATCTTAAAATTAAAGATATACTAGTTAAACACTGCTCTTTTATATACGAGGTTCCCTTTCAATTTTTATTTGGAAAAAGAATCCTGTTATTGTTTTTTAATTGCTTTTGGAAACCACTGTGCCATAGCATCCTCTGGAGTGTTTCAAGATAAAGTGAAGAGAAGGAGGGACAGGGAGGAACAGCAGAACCAGACCCTGCTGTCTCTTCCCTGGCTACACCGGGGATTCGAAAGGAAAATTACCTCCTGGACCGGCCACAGGCACGTACTTTCCTGGCCTGGAAGAAGCCTCTTCCCCACTCCGTTCATCTCCAAACCGCAAAGTCTCTCCACCATCTCCAAGGTGTTATCTGGCATTCCGTTCTGAGCGGAGGAAGACTTGGGCTTCAGGGAACTTTAAATGCACATATCTGGGAGGCCTGGCACAGCGGGGTGGGTGAGGGCCAGTCCAGTGAAAGCCATGACATCAGCTCCCACGTGAATGGAGGGAGAATGTCAAAGAGCTGGATGGCTTTGGGGGTTAAGCCATCAAAGTCAAGTTCAATATGGGACAGGGGAGAAGAGTCAGATTTCAGGGCTGGGAGGGTGACAAACTGACTCCACCACTGACCCACAGGTTTTTGCCAAGTTTCCTTAACCCATCTGCTCTCAATTTCCCCATCTGTGGGATGGCGATAATTCCCTGCCCTCCCAGGTTTAAAGCATAGACTAGGTATTAAATAGATGTCGGCTCCTCTCTTATCAAGTATTCAAAGCCCCAAACTGCTGCCATTGGCCCTGGCTTCCCTCTGCCATCTTGCTGGCCATCTTATGAGCCAATGTCATGGGGGAAGAAGGGAACAGTCAGGCGATCTGTATTCTTGCTCCAGCCGCCCAGAAAACTCAGTTTGCTCTTTCATAAAATGCAGAAGGGGCGAGTGCAGGGAAGGGGAGGACTGTAAAGGAACATGAGGAAACTTTGGGGGATGGTGGACATGCTCATGTGGGGATGGTGCACAGGTGTATACAGGTGTCCAAAACTTATCAAACTGCATGCTATAAATATGTACAGTTTATTGCATGTCAATTATACCTCAATCAAGCTTTTTTTTAATGGAGATAGTAATACCTGTCCACGTCTAGTACATAGAACAAGCCCAAATGTGGTAATGGATGTGATGATGTTTGATAAGGAAATACAAATGCCCATATATAGCAGCGGTTCCCTGGGCTCTCAGAGACACATGACTCACAGCTGAGGTCAAGGCTGGGAGCACGCACTCTGGAGCCAGACCACCCCAATCTGAGAGCAGGCTCCTCTTCCATGATCTGGTGATCAAGGGCCACCAACCCATGACAGGCATGGCTATGGGGTCAGCTCCTGAAACACGGGTAGATGAGGAGCGAAGAGCGGGCTGAGGAAGAGGGTGGGATTGTGTGTCGCTCATCTTAAACAGTGTTTCACGTTCAGGGACCTCACAGAGCAGCCCCACCTCTGGTGCACCCAAAATCACATAATATGGGCGTCTCGAAATAGTCAAGGACCTGGGTGAAGAAAAGAAAGCTCATGAGAGGAATTCTGGTAACATTCCTGAGATGATGAGGGAGACAGATTTCTGGGGTTTAGGGGCTATGGGACTTCCCAAAGTGAGCAACAATTCCCACAGAATGGATCTTCCACATCTTCTTGCCCAAGTGTATGTCCTGGGTGCTTACAAGATGCTTCTGCTCTAGGTCCTCCCTTGGGCCTCTTGGTAATTCATTCTGTGAGTGATTCACCAGGCCACATTTTGCCTCCTTCTCAGAGACACACCATAAAGCTACCCTGAAAAGGGTACAGGTGCCTGTAAGAGACAAGAGGTTAAACTGTGCTTCCAGGAGGAGAAAGGGGCAGACCGGCTAGGCAGACCTACTTCCCTTTCCCCATCTCCCCACATTTCCCACAGACAATACTCTTTTCATCGCTCACCCCAAGACTTCCTATCACATTCCGTTCCCTATGGTTCTTCCTCTCATGTCAACTCCATGCTGCTCTGGGGCCTGGAATTCCATGGGGAAGCTGGGAAGAGGGATACTTGGAATAATGAAAAGGATTCATCACCCTTCCGGAAGAGAAAGTCGGTCCTGCACTACCCCAGGGCCTTTCAGGAGAGCACTCCCGACTGGGAAAACGGGAGTCTGGGTTACATCAGTGAAAGGCGGGAACAAAAGCACGTTGTAGGAGTCTGAGTGGAATGTTTTATTGGGGAGACAATCTCAAAGTTAGACTCTCAGAGCCTAGGAATCAGTATTCAAGGTCAAAGGGTCAGTGAAAATAATACCAAGCCTTATGCATGTACAGCGTTGTGCCGTTTACACAGTGCTTCCACCCACGTTGACCATCACAGCAACGCCATGAAGCTGGCAGGCCCGGTGCTCCCTCAAAGGAAGAGTCTGAAAGTGAGGGAAGTTAACAACTGTCCAAAGTCAAGACCCAAAAATTCTGCCTCCAAAACAACCCTTAATTCTTCCGCTACGTGTCACGCTGTCATCTAGGGGGTGAGACCCATTGCCCAGCCATCTTGTTTACTTCACACAGAGGGCAGAGCAGGTGAGGAGGCGATTCCCAGGTTCTGAAGCCCTTGCCTCCTTGCTGTGAGAGCACTGTTTCTGAGGATGCCTGGCTAGGAACTGATGACCTCAGTGATGGTGATGTTTATGTTATCTGCAAGGTCACACTACTATTAAATACCAGAGCCAGGATCTAACTCAAAACTCTGGTTCCAGAGTCACATTCTTTAAGCGAAGAACATCAAGGCCACTGGATCAACAGGCCCCATCAATACAGTCGGATGCACTGAAGAAGAAGCACTTGCCTCCACATAGCACTTTGCAGATGCTTTCACGCTTGCTCTCAGAGGTCGTGATTTCTGAGCTGCATCTCAGAACCCTGTGAGGAGGCATGAAGGTCAGAGAAGGAAAGGAACTCACCCAGGGGCCAGAGCAGAGTCAGGTTTGAGTATAGCACAGACCAGAAGCATGATTTTTTCGCTTTTCACAAAGGACAAGAGGAACTTGAGGCCATGAGGGTCACATGAGTTGTAGCTCCTCCCCCTCATGGGTGGGGTTAAGCCTGCAGGAAGTCCAAGCTCTTCCTGTCTCTCAGACTGCATGGGGGAGCCTGGATGCTCGACTGCGCTGGTATCGCCAGGAACAGGACATTTGCATGACCCAGGCAGATGCTGTAGGGAGAGGAGAGAGTTAGAGGGAGGGGTGAGGCCCAGAGTGAGCCGGGCACAGGCTCTCTGTGAATCCGGAGCTCCAGTAGGGTGACTTGCAGGCACTTGCTCGGCTCTGATGGCCCAGAACAACCCTGGGAGAGGGGCCCATGGCATCCACCCAGTGCTTCAGGCACACAGTTTCACACACCATAGACATCTTGGGTGAATTTACATGTCAAAAAAATGGTATGTGTGTAAATTTCGTGCTATACCCTCATTGTGAAAAGGAAGGATCTTTTGACCAAAACTGTCTTACTCTCAACTCTTTAATAACAGATGTGGCACTCCAAAGAATCTCCACCCACAACTTTATGTCAGGTTGAAATGACATATCCCAGTCCACGCAGAGTGCAGGAGGTGACGGAGGGACAGGGCTCACCAATCCTCTGGGTTTCACAGTGTTTCTTCTTATACTCCTACTGGAAAAATTTTGAGTGCACACTTGCAAAATGTTTCTTATTTTTATGCATTTTATAATATGTGTATATACTACAACTGTAAAATATTACACATATTATAAAATGTACACTATACACTGCTAATAAAAATTTTTAAAGGAATAAGTAATCTGTGATAAAACTTTTTAAATTATATTTGTTTTTATTATTAAATGGGCATAAACATTTGCCCGCCTAATATACCATGATTATATAATTTGAAAGAAAATATCAACCTTAATCACATTTTGGTGAGAGGAATATGATTGAAAATGAGTCTTTTTAACATTTTAGTTTGATGATTTGTATGACATTGACTTGAAAGTCTGGATCTGAGTACAATATATTTCTGCATATTTTAATAATTATTATGAGATTTTTAGGCACAAAAACAGTCTTTACTTGAATTTGATGGCTATGAAAAAAAAACTCTCCAACATGCAAAGATTGAATTAGAGGAACATCATTGTTGGCTCAGTATATTTTTCCTGGTTCTGTCTAGGTTTCAATATTTTCCTGTTGCCAAGAGGCACATGATTCACATCTTCTCTCAGGATTCACGTCCTCCTGATGTTGTCCTACTTCTGTGAGTCTCTCACATACTCCCTCTGAAGAGCTTGACAGAAAATGTTTGCAGATACTCTTGTGTGCATTTGCCATTCCCTTCCCACCATCTTCTTCCCAAACATGAAAGCCACATCAGTGCGACAATGATGTCTGCTAGAGACCTTTCTTTGAGGGAAGTCACAGACCATATGTTGGGCTGAATGATCTCTTCACCTGATGGAAGAAGACTAGTTAATTTTTATTTATACTAGACAACCAATTTTGGAATTAATGAATGAAAAGGACAATTATCACGTTTGTGCCAGAATAAGAGTTTATTAAGAGGTTAACAAGGGATCTTTACTGCATCTCCAAAGACCAAAACAGTGACAAGGAAGATTTTTTCCAATTATGTTTTGCTTCATAGCATACCCGTCAGCACTATCGCACTTAATATAATTCTGTTTCCATCACATTTAGGTAAGTATTTGTTAAAGTATAACATGTTATGCAAATGTGTCATTGTGATAATAGATATTGCATGATCCTGTTGCAGATTTCTCTACGTGACTCAGAAGACAGACTGAGTCAGTAAGTGGACTTTGCAGTCTCTTGTGCTAAAGCGTCAAGCCAGGGAGTTCAGTGGAAGGCTAGAGTTGACACTTGGAAGCTGGTGCTCGTAAAAGTTTCTTCCTTTGTCCAAGGTGTGGTCACTGTAGGAGACGTTTGGATGCAGTAGGGCTGAGATGCGATTTTGGAGCCCCTCTCCTCCTCCTGGCACCGGGACCTCTAGCACACAAAAGTGTTGCAAGGCCCACACCGAGTGCGTGGGGCACAAGGATTGGAGATGCAGGACCCAATGGACTTGTCACATGCGTTGGTTGTGGCACATGGGTTGCAGGGGAGCCTAGAGACAGAAAACCATTTGGGCAAGTTAGGGTAAAATGAGATGAAGAGCTAGGAAGATACTAAACGCACTTTGTGTAAGAATATCATTCTTCCTCAGAGCTCCTCCAAGAAAAGCTTGAAATTATAAATTCATTTCTATCAAGACTTTTGATCGCTACAGAAAACTCTTACACCCCCAAGGAAAATATTACTAGTCTCATACTCACTTGCAGTCCTCGCTCTCCAGCAGACCCCGGTACGTGTTGATCTCACTCTCCAGCCGGGCCCGGACGTCCAGCAGCACCTGGTACTCCTGGTTCTGACGCTCAAGGTCACTCCTGATCTCCGCCAGCTGGGACTCCACGCTGGTGATCAGGCCCTGCACCTGGGACAGCTGGGCGCTGTAGCGGGCCTCCGTCTCCGTCAGCGTGTTCTCCAGAGAGTCTCTCTGTGGGGGGATAAAGAATGTCACAGAGTTCTGTGAAGGAGCCACTGCTCCTTCAGTGGGCTTCTCCACGGGGCTCCCAAGAAGTCACAGCTTCAAGAGTCAGGGAGAGTGTGGCCCAGAGGGCATCCCAGTGACTCCGATTCCCCGACTTCACGTTTCTCAGCAGGATGGCTGAACAGTACCCACCAGGTTGTGCTGGGCCTGCAGCTCCACCTCCAGGGCGTTGACCGTGCGTCTCAGCTCGATGATCTCCGCCTGGTAGGACTGCAGCTGCTCCGAGCTGGACACCACCTGCCTGTTCAGCTCCTCGGTCTGAAACACCACAGGGGAGAAGACAGGATCAGACCCTGCCTAAAGGGCCCCACGAGGCCTCGGGTCCTGAGTGACCACGTGCTGAGATGCCCACCTGGGTGGTGAACCATTCCTCCACGTCCCTGCGGTTGGTCTCCACCAGGGCCTCATACTGACTCCTGGTCGCATTGAGCACGCTGTTCAGGTCCACAGTGGGGGCCGCGTCCACCTCCACGTTGAGGCGGTCTCCAAGCTGGCTACGCAACGTGTTGACTTCCTGATGGAAAAAGGCAAAATTTAAAGTATCACAAAGGATCCTGATGCTCTCCTCTAAGAGAATGCAGTTGAACTTGTGATCACTATTAAACTTTCAATAGCTTGGTTCCCTCTGATCCTCTAATTGACTGGGTTCTGCCTTCAGTGACTAATCTGTGTATCCTGCTTTACAAAGTGCTTTCAAGTCCACCACCTCTTTCCACCTTCGTGTCAGTGCGCTACCCCTCACTTAGAGAAGTGCAGTGATCGGCCTCCCAGCTGACTTTTTGTTTTTTTGTGTGTGTGTGAGGAAGATCAGCCCTGAGCTAACACCCATGCTAATCCTCCTCTTTTTGCTGAGGAAGACTGGCTCTGAGCTAACATCTATTGCCAATCCTCCTCCTTTTTTTCCCCAAAGCCCCAGCAGATAGTTGTATGTCATAGCTGCACATCCTTCTAGTTGCTGCATGTGGGACGCGGCCTCAGCATGGCCGGAGAAGCGGTGCGTGGGTGCGTGCCCGGGATCCAAACCCAGGCTGCCAGCAGTGGAGCGCGCGCACTTAACCGCTAAGCCCCGGGGCCGGCCCCTCACAGCTGAGTTTTAAACCGTGGACCCCAAACACCCAGTTCAGTGTTTCTGCTAGTATACCCCATAGCCTCTTATGTTTGATGCTTAACCGTGGGAAATAAAAAGGATAGAGTCTGGCTAAAGAGGAAATAAAAAATGCTTACTTCAAAATCTGCCATCCTGGGATAGTATAGGCATCACTGGAGATTCCATCAGCATAGATTTTGCTGAAGGAAATAAGTATCTGTTCATTTCACTGCTCATCTCTTCACAGAGCCAGCATAGCTTGGTACTCAGGCTTAGGTGAATGTCAGATCGATTTGAATTAGGTCTCATCTCTACCACTCACTACATGGCTTCTAGAAGCTTCTAGAAGCCTCAATTTCTTCATCTGTAAGTAAGAACTACCTCTGGAGTTCTAAGGCACTTAGCCCAACGTTTGACACACAATAAGCACTCAATTAATATTAATCATCACTATTTACATTGTTCTGGGATTTAAGGTTTGCACAAAAATATCTGTCTTCTTTATCATGCAACTAACCAAACAATGATAGTGAGCGTTTTTTCAGTGTTTCCCCCAGGCAGCACTGAATGGCAGAAAGAGTTCTGGACGAGAAAAGGAGAGTTGGGTTTTGTTTCCAGCTCAGCCCTCTCTGCTGTGTGGCCATCCTGGCCTCTCCAGTTGCTAAGTGGAGAATTGGGATAAAAGATCTCTGTGGCCCCATCTGCTCCAACGTGGGAGCAGAAGAGGCTGTGGGCACTGCCCAGTTGCTGACTTTTCCTTATTATGGGGCTTGCCAACTTCCTTCACTCTTATTTCTGCCTCTGACAGAAAAATCCTAATCTCATATCGTGCATTTTTAGATTACTCATTCTCTATAAATCTCCTTTTGTTTGGAGACTAGATTCCTCTTCAAGTTGAGCCTCTCCCACACCCTGGGGCAGTTGGAAACAGGCTTTGGCAAGTTTGAAGCTGTTGCTCTTTGGGGAACCTCACCTGCTCGTGGTTCTGCTTGAGGCAGAGCAGCTCCTCCTTCAAGGACTCTACCTGGGCCTCCAGGTCAGCCTTGCACAGGGTCAGCTCGTCCAGGATCCTGCGCAGGCCATTGATGTCCGACTCCACCAGCTGCCGCAAGCCCAGCTCCGTCTCATACCTGGGATACAGGAGCATCAGGGACAGGCCAGGCAGAAACAGGCCTGGCCTTGACCCTGGTCTGGTTTGTCAGACAACTGGAACTTGGGGCTTGTGGTTTTTACAGCCATCTCATTCATTTAGGTTTTCAACACAGAGCTCTAGCTCCTAGAGGAAAATGCACTGATAATTATATTTTAATAAATAAACAGCCAGTGGATTTAAGGGGATAGAAGCCCACAAACTGAGATTTCCAAAACTGATACACTTCCCACATTCTCCTGATTGCATTCTGTGCATAGCAGAGCATTGGAGGACCATGACTTCTACACTAGATTGGGGGATATTGCTTTACAGAGAAGCAAGAGGAGGAGAAGGCACCTAGAGAAGGGATCTCTGAGCTCTGGTGAGCAATAGCTCTGTGGATCTTGGGGAAAATGTCTTGGGAAAAGCTTTGTCAATGTGTGTCAGTGTTGAGGACAGGCTAAGGGGAAAGAGACAAGAGAGAGAAGACAGACCCCACTTGCCCACTCACTTGGTCCTGAAGTCGTCTGCGGCCAGCTTGGCGTTGTCAATCTGCACCACCAGCCTGGCATTCTCAGACTTGGTGCACAGGATCTAGAAGACCCAAAACATTCTAGAATGAGCTTGGTTGTTTTTAGCCAACAGCAATCCCTACTAATTCACTTATATGGAAGGAACAGAATGAGAAATCACAGTAGATCTTATATAAGATTATTAAATGCTGTCCATGTGCAATAGGTGCTCAATAAATATTTGAGAAATCAAATTTGCAAAAAAGAACACTGAAATATGCAAGAAAAGTATCAGTAGATATATTGTCTTTCTTTTTCTTTCCTAATTAGCAAAACTGAGAAGCTGATAATAATAAAAACTAACATTTATTCTTAAAAACTTACAATATATCTGGCACGGTTCTAGGAGCTAAAGATACAAAAATGAGTAAGCCTGGATCCTGCCTTCAAGAAATTTCCAGTCCAGTGGGGAAGATAAACACATACACCAGCAGTTGGAAGCAGCTGGGTCAGCGAAGCAGCCATGCCCTCTCGGTCATCCTGGATAGCTTGGCACCATGTCCTCCTAGGTAGTGTCCACTCTTTCTGGTTTTAGCCAACCACTTTATGCCCTCGCTGGACACTGCACACCAGGAGAAGCCAAGAGGCATCTAGGCCGGAACTGTAAAGCAGGATAATTAGGTGCCGGGAAGAGGATGGCAACAAGAGGTCAGAACAGTCAAAAGCTCAGATGAGGGAGAGAGAAAACGGTCCAATCCTTACAAAATGTTCTGCTTCCTAAGCTTCCTTCTTGGGCTCAATCTTTTCTCTCACCTCAGGGAAACAATTCCAGAGCTTGGGAAATGCATGGAAGCATTTAGAGGCAGCTTTTAGTTATAGCTTATTTATACAAAGTGCTGCTATCTCCACATAGACTAACCCTATGCAAATATTCAGACCTAGCAGTCCTGGGCCTGGAATAAGATGGATCCTCAAGAAAAGAAAATGGAAAAGCCAGACTTCAACCCATGGGTTTCAATCAAACCAAGAGCTCATATTGTTTCTTAACCATATCTCAGATTCTCTCCTTACAGCTTCCTGCTGGAGGCAGTGTGGTGCCCACCCCCTCACCTTCTGCTGGAGCGCCTCGATGGTGCGGAAGTAGGACTGGTAGTTGGCACACACTTCCGGCTCCTGCTGCTGGCTCCGCTCCCGGATGCGGCTCTCCAGCTCCGCGTTGTCCCGCTCCAGCTGGCGCACCTTCTCCAGGTAGCTGGCCAGGCGGTCGTTCAGGAACTGCATGGTCTCCTTCTCGCTGCTGTTGAAGGAGCCCTCGCAGAACCAGCTGCAGCTGCCCACGTTGGCGGGGATGTTGCAGGCCCCGGGCAGGGTGCAGCTGCGACAGCTGGGGGGCATGCAGGGCCGGGCGGAGAAGCTGGAGCGGCAGCTCAGGTTGGGCAGACAGCAGTTGTAAGACATGGTGCTGGAGGGAGCGAGGGTCTCAGCTGAAGACAGAGTCCAAGTTGTTCCAGGAGCTTGTGGGTCTCCTGCCTCTGGGGAGCATTTATACCCCCTCCACAGAGGGTGTGGACAAGCAAGGCAGCCCTTTTTTCTTACTCATTTGGGATTGTCAAAAGCCCTTCCCCTCAGTTTGTTATGTTTCCTCAGAAGAGTCCCTCACCTCGTAAAAGACTTTACTCAGGCTTCTCGCTAAGTCAGGACTTCTCTTCCATGCTGTGCCTCAGTGAAGTAAGAGCTTCATGGTGTGGCTTCAAAGAGCTGGACTCATGGATGCCCTGGCCTCCATTAGTGGGGCGTGACAGGTCCAGGGACACCATTGCTATTTTGCCTCCTGGCTTGGTGGCCCTGACTCCTTGGCAAGCCTTTGGCTCTTCTCGCTGAGAGAGAAAAGAATAGTTCTTGCCCATGTATCTTTTGCTAGGTCAAATTTCTGAAGGCCAAATTCCAAATTCATGATTCTCAGAAAGAGAAATTGATCCCTTCTGGGACAGTGAAAACAGCCTGGTTCCCAGGGGTCCTGTTTCCTGATATAGTGGGTGTCATCCATATCCATGAGAATGTCAATCAACCAAATAACAGATATTCACCAGGGTCATACTTTGTACACTGTGAGGAATGGAAGATAGGACCAGGACTATGATCAGAAGGAGCTCGCACTTGTTCAGCACCTGCACAGGCCTAAGATGGTGCTAGACACTTTTCACAAACATGATCTCATTCATTCCTCACCATGACTCTTCAAGGTAAATGATATTATTCCCGTTTTACAGATGGGCAAACCAAGGCATATAGGATATGGGTTAATATGTTGTGAAGCCAGGACTCCAAAACAGATCTCTCTTCTTTCCATCATACCACGCTACTTGTTAAAATGAACTACCTCCTTCCCTAACTTCTTGTGACAGATCATCTCTTCCTCCTCTCTGAACTCTCATCTCCCCTTGAGCATGGCATTGTCATGACTTACATGCATATCTCTCTCTCTACTTGAGTTCCCTAAAGGAATGGAAGGCCCTTTATATGAAGGACCATGTACATCTCCTTGAGGAGTTTAGGCTTTATCTTAAGGGCAGTGGGGAGCCATTGAAGAGTCTAAGGAGAAGAGTGATGTAGTTTCATTCTTGATAAACTGCGTTTGAAGGAACGGTGGAATCTCACAGGGAAATGTTCAGCAGGTCCTTGGAGTTTCAAGACTAGAATTCATGACGGGGATGATAATGACAGGTATGATCTTAGTGCAGATGTGAGAGTCAGAGAAATGAGCCAAGGGAGAGTGTACAAAAAGAAAAGCAACAAGAGGCTGAGGACCAAACTTTGGAGACTTCCCCAATCAGAGGTCAGGAGAAGGAAAAAGAGTCAGAGAGAAAAGGAGAAACGGTGGGAGAAAATGAAGAGAGCCAGTTCATGGCATCATAGAAGACCAGGGAGGAGAGAGCTTCAAAGTGGAGATGAAGGTCAAAACTGTCAAGCGCAGCAAAGGGCCCGGTAAGATCAGAACCATGGAGAGGGTCTTAGATACATTGACCAGCAAGTTACAAGGACCCTTCCAGGGTCACACGGGGGTGCCTACTGTGTACAGCACCTGTGCTCTTAAGGTGACACCCGCATTGGTGTCACCGAACTTTGGTAGACCGAGACTTTAAACACCCTGAGTCGAAGTGTTCGTTATTTAGAGAAGTCTTGCCACAGTCAGTTTGTACACCTGATTATAAAGCTTGTGAGCTTTGGTCTTACCAATACAGACTTTCTACGATAATTAGAGTGTGTGTTAAGCAGTTTAAAGATGTCAAGCTTGTTTGGATTTGATGATTCATAATACTTGGTGATTTAGGAACAATTACCCAAGAAGCATAAGCAATCGGAACTGTCCATGCATATAACTCCACTTCTGTTTTGTCGCAAGGCATAAGGTGAGACTTACTTGATATCCTAAAGCGAGATCATGAAGAAGGAATTCAGTTATGTGCCTAAATACATTGCCCAGGGGGCCCGCCTGGTGGCGCAAGCTGTTAAGTGTGCGCGTTCCCCTTCAGCAGCCCGGGGTTCACAGGTTCGGATCCCGGCGTGCACCAACACACTGCTTGTCAAAGCCATGCTGTGGCGGCGTCCCATATAAAGTGGAGGAAGATGGGCATGGATGTTAGCTCAGGGCCAAGCTTCCTCAGCAAAAAAAGAGGAGGATTGGCATCGGCTGTTAGCTCAGGGTTAATCTTCCTCACACACACACACAAAAATAAATAATAAAATAAATAAATACATATATACATACATTGCCCAGGCTCCTTACTGTCGTCCTAGCAGAAGACAGAGCAGAACTCAGAGAAGAGTGCTCACAGCAGAGTCCACGCCCCTCATCTACAGCTGCAGATCAAACACCAGACTGCTTTGTGTTTGGCTCTTCCTTTCCTCTCTTCCATCTCCTGTGTAGATCCCAAATGGCAAAATAATCAACAGAGAGAGGGAAAATCTTGGAACAAGAGTGATGTCAGGGATCTTAATGATCATCTCACCCAACCCTCTCATTTTACAAATGAGGAAACTAAGGCTCAGAACAGAGAAATGGCTCGTCTTGGATTGTGTAGTTACAATGCACATCTACTGATCCCTACTGCATTCCCAGCCCCCATCACCATGCTTCAGAAATGTTGAATAATTTCACAACCCGTCTGACCTGTTATTACCTAGGGGCAGAAATCAAAGGAAGTGAGAGAAAAACAAAAAACAGGAAAACAAAATCTTGTTATCTAGAGATTTGCTCTGTTGAAGATGAATGAAGGGTGAATGTGGAAATAACGATAGAATTCAGCAATACTGAAGTTCCTTCTTGCCTCTCTGATTTCAATTGTTATTTCTACATTGATCATACAATTATATCCCAACAGTTTGGAGCAATTTATATAATTATATCCCATCAGATTTGGAATTATATCCCATTAGTTAGAGACACTTAGAACCACAACTGTTCAGATGATGGTGACTCTACTCAAGAGCAATACAGTTACCCAAAATAAAGTACACAAATATAGTCATAACAAAATTAAAAATGTGATTTTAACTATGAGGACAATTGAGAAGTAAAAAGAACCACACTCCAGTGATGACCCCGGATGCTTTTAAATGATAGGATTATGAACACTTTTTTATTCTTTATACTTTTTGTTTTCCCCAAATTTTTTGAAAATATGTGTGTTACTTCTGCACAAGAAAAAGAAATAAAATTTACATTAAAAATTCCAAAAGGAAATTTTTACAAGTCTTCTAAAGAAGTAAAGAGTTGTAAAAGGATCCAGTAAGGCTCCTATTCCAATATAATCACTAAATTGCACTTGAGTTTGTCATTCTGGAAATAAAGGCTTTGTCATGATTGGCATTCACACCCTTGTGATAACCGCTGATTTTGCCAGTTCCAAAGAGGAGCTATTAGGAGGGGATGAAGGTAAACCAAGCTTCCTATGAGATCAAACGGCGTGTAGCTCGTGAGTTGACTGATGCGTGGTCTGAGCTTCAGGTGAAGAGAATGCAAGAAGGGACAAGCCTTGGAGAAAGGTTCTGCCAATTGACTGCCACCCACAGTCCAAGAATATCGAGTATTAGGATCCCTCACTGAGCCACATCCTTAGACTGGACTTCCCACACACATATGATGGTGACATTTCTTTTCTGGAAATAGTGTCTAAGTCAGATGAAGTCTAGAATCTTAGAATGTTAAGTTACCAAGGATCTAAGGAGTCATTTCACCCAACTCTTTCCTTTTACAAATGAGAAAATGTTGACCCCAAAGAGGAAGTGACTTGCTCAAGCTCATACAGAGACTTTGTAAAAGAGTCTAAATTGGAAAAGGGTGAATTAGAAAGGAGAGGCAGGGAACAAGGCCCTTAGTCTTTATCAGAGAGTTGGAACTCAGACCATTGAGAAAAGCCACAACTCTCAAAAGACAGCACCCTTAGTGAAAAGGTAAACTAGAATAAAAAAACTATGTTCATTGTCACAGGAAGATTTGGGGGGGAAAAAACAAGCTGAACTGTCTCTTACTGGGCTCTAAGTCTAAAACATTATGCTATGTAAAATAAGCCAGTCACAAAATACCACATATTGTATGATTCTATTCAATGCAATGTCCAGAATAGGCAAATCTATAGAGACAATTGTGGTTGCCTAACCCCAGGGGGTTGAGGAGAATGGGGACTGACTAGTAATGCGGACAAGATTTCCTTGGCGGATGATAAAATGTTCTAAAATTGTGGTAATGCTTACACAACTCTATTAATATGTTAAAAGCCATTGAATGTTTTACTTTATACAGGTGAATTGTATGACATCTGAACAATATATCTATATAGCATGAATTATACTTCAATAAAGCTATTTTTAAAAAAAGAATTCAGAAGGAGAAGATAGACTAGGACAGAAGTAATATTCAAAAAATATAATCGCTGAGAATTTTCCTCAAGTGTTGAGAAACATGAATCAATTCAAGAAGCACATCAGTCCTGAGTAGGAAAACAAAACTAGACCCACCCCTAGACATAATGCAGCAGAGCCACACACGCTAAAGACAAAGACGTGATCTCATAAACAGCCAAAGAAAGAAAAAAATAAGCAATTACCAACAGTGCAACCACAGTTAGATTGACAATAGGCTTTTCAACATCAGCAACAAGACCCAAAAGACAACAGTATAAGGTCTTCAAAATGTTGCAGGAACATAGCCATCAATCTGGAATTCTATACCAACAAAAACCATCATTTCGGAGTGATCACTAAGAAAAGACATTTTCAGATCGGAACTGAGAGAATTTATCACTTATAGATTCTGTAAGAACTACCAAAGAATGCATTTCAGAAAACAAGAAATTGAAACCCAAAAGGAGGAAGAAAGTACAAGAAGCATTGTAAGCAAGTAAATATGAACACCTTAGCAATATGTGCTAAGTCTGATGACACTCATCAAGTTTGAAAGTAAAAACAGATTTCTGGGTATACAACTTGGTGCTTTTATATATATGCATACATTGTGAAAAGATCACCACAATCAAGCTAAATAACTTATCCATCACCTCTACATGATTACCTTTGTGTGTGTGTGTGTGTGTGTGTGTTAAGAACTATCCCCTTTGAAAATGTCAATTATACAATACAGTATAATTAACTATCATCACCATGCTCTATGTTAGATCTCCAGAACTTATTCATCTCATGTAACTGACTCTTTGTACCCTTCGACCAACATCTCTTCATTTCCCCCACCCCCAATCCCTGGCAACTGCTATTCCACTCTCTGCTTTTATGAGTTCAACTTTTTTAGATTTCACATATAAGTAAGATCGTGCAGTATTTATCTTTCTGTGTCTGGCTTATTTCACTTAGCATAATGTTGTCATGTTGTCGGCGAAGAGGGAGAATCCCCCTCTGCCCTTTCCCTTAAGGTTCTTATGGCTGGCCAAATAATTAAAAGACAGGTTAGCAGGAGAAAATAATACCAAGTTTAATAACATGTATACATGGGAGAAACCAGGGAAACTAAGTTTCTCAACAAAATGACAGAGATGTTAATTTTAAATATTATCTTCAGCTAAAGACAAAGGAGGATGTTGGGGTGGGGGGGTTGGGATTTCAGAGGGGAAGAAGACAATTCACATAAAGAGGGAAATGTAAATGTTTGTCAGAAAATTCTTTACAGGGCTACCTATAGAGAAGGTGGCCGGAGAGACAGAAATCACGGTAATCAAGAGTATGTAGATTTAAGTCCTCTCCTTCTGTACTGATAAGAGTTTCCAGAGATAAGGTCATCCCCCGCCCCTTTCCAGTACACAGAGGGAGATACCTTTACAAGTGTAAATATTTGGTAAACAGAACTTTGAAAAGAATGGGCTTAGTGAGGACCCTACCAGTCTGTCCATACCCAGAGTTAAATTCCTTTAGACAGTTAGTGGGGGAGGTCAGATGTCCATCAGAGAAAATAATCAAGGTAAAGAGATATATTTCAGGGTGGTCAATTTTGATTTCCCACAATGTCCTCCAAGTTCATCCACGTTGTCCCAAATGGCAGGATTTCCATCATATATACATGTGTGTATATATATGATATATATGTCACATTTTCTTTACGCATTCATTCATCAACAAACACTTCAATTGTCTCCATGTCTTGGCTGTTGTGGATAATGCTGTAATGAAAATGGGAGTACAGCTATCCCTTTGAGATACTGATTTTACTTCCTTTGGAAAGAAGTGATATTTCAATAAAGTTAAAAAAAAAAAAAAAACAGATTGCTGCCCCCGGGGTTTCCCAGTTAGTAGGTCTGGAGTGGGACTGAAGAATTTGCATTTCTAACAGCTTCCCAGGTTCCCAGGGAACCACACTTTGAGAACCACTGCTCTAGAGAAACACTCAGGTGCATAAGGAGATATTGGCAATGATGTTCCTGCAACACTGTTTATAATGATCAAGAAAGAAAGAAATATCCAACTGTCCCTCAGTAGTGGAATAGGTAAATAAAAACATGATTTGTTTTCATTATGGAATACTACATAGGAGTTAAAATATATGAAAGGAAAAACATGTATCAACATAGATAAATCTCAGAAACATAATGTTGAACGGGGAAAATTAATGGCAAAATTTATACCGTTTATATTTTCTAACTTAAACTGCTAAATTGAAACACACACACACGTACATGGATACATCCATGTATAATTTTCAGGAATGTTTTAATCAGAGAATAATGCACTATGAAGTTAAGATAGTGGTTACGTCTGGGGGACAGAGGGAAAGAAGGATGGATAAAGGTGGGGTTTTATCTCAACCTATAACATTTTATTTCCAAAAAAAAAAGCAAGCAAAGAAAACCCACAGCAATGACATAAATACGGCACAAGGTTAACATCACTCAAATCTTGGTTGCAGATTTGTAGGTGTCTTATTATTTTTTTGTACTTTTATATGTTTGAAATATTTCGTAATTTAAAATAAGAAATAGGAGCATTGCCTTGTTACACTAGGTAGCGAATCACCACCATCAGCAGTGGACTTCAGGGCCAAGTGACTTGCCCAGTATGTGAGGGAGGAGTAACACTGAGCCCTACCCAGAGTCTCAGAAACCAATCTGGCTCTGTCCTGAGAAAAAGTGATTTCCCTGACACTCCTTTCTCTTCTCCCCCAAGGAAAGCACCGTGGCAGGGACAAGGACTCAGGACAGCCTCTCCTGGACCCAATTCTCCCGCTGAGACAGCCCTGTCAAACATAGAGACAAAGCTTTGTTTAACGCTTTCCACAGTGAACAATGAGAACAAAGTGTATTTACTGTCTTGAGAAATTTGAGCTCTCACTTATGAGGCGTAAAACAAGGGGTTTGAGAGGCATCTGTCCCTGACAAAGGCAGCTGCTGGTAACTGTTGGTAGACAGTGGTCCCAGCATGTTGGAGACAGGTGGGATAGATTGAACAAGGGTATTTGTACCAGGTGTGGAGGTGGTTCCTGGGAATGAACTTGCCCTGGAGGGAGAGAGGCTAGAAGGCACCAGCTGGGTCTGGGACACTCTGAGCACAACATAGAGTGTCACTCAATTATCTTCCAAGGTCTCCTGCCTGAAGTCTGGCTAAGGGACCTCCAACAACATCAATGACAATGGAGTGAACATGAAAAGAACTAGAGTATGAGAGAACAAGAATTTTTTTTAATTGAATATATTTGAGAGAATAGGAATTTAAGACCAACATTGGAGCGGGCATCGTCACAGCAGAGGGAGATAGTGTCAGCTTCATCTCAAGGAAAGAAGACATAACTAGCAGTTTGGCCAAAGATTAGGGCAGTGGCCTGGCACAGACCACAGCGGGCACAGCTGTGGGAGCCATTAACCTTGGCAGACATCAGTGTGCACCAGTAGGAGTGGGCACCAGCAGAGCTGGCACTTTTAGTACTGGCAGAGACCAGAGACCAAATATCCTAGTTTGGTTCTAAAGAACTTTGGGGGGATGAGGGGATCTCAAAACTCAAATTTAGACCCAGTGTTAAAAAACTCAAAACATAAGAGAAACACTTTAAAAATCTGCTGGTTATTACTCAAATAGAAGATAGCACTTTCTACTACTATGAGTTCTCCAATATTTTCCAAAGGAGAGTTTCAGAGATATTTGAGGTACTAATAGCATCACCTCTCCCCAGGTGACGGTTCTGAAGGGTGTATAAGCTCTGGGTGCTTGTTGGAAGTCAGTTTTATTCTCTCATAGTCACAACTCACACAAACTGACATTCGGAGAATGAGCTCCAGGTTCAGTCCTGTCATTGTCACTTACTATGTAAGAGAAAAAATTAGTCATGGAGTTCCTGGCTCTTGGTTGGTGTTCAATGAGCATTAGCTCCTGTCTCTCTTCTTGCAGGCACTTGGAAAAGAAAAAAGTGGAACTTTCTAGAAATGTTAACCATTGTATTTTACTGAGTAAGGTCCCATAGTGTATGTTCATCATATTCAGATGAGGCCTCTTGCCTTAGTGGTCCCACTGGTTCCCTGCTGGCCTCAGTGACTGCTGCAGCTCGTAGTGCTTAATGAATGTTAATTAATGGTGATGAAGACTTCTTAGGAGAGGACTGAACTACACAGCCCTCCTGTGCTTTCAAGTAGCTTTATAAGAAGCACATACACATAGAGGGAGCACTTTGAAAAGAATGAATACAAATGAGAATCATCACTGCTTTGCAAGAGGAAAATTTATTAGGAGATTCAGAAAGGGATTTGGGGAACTACAAGAAAGCAGCAGAGAGAACCACAAAACATCTCGTATGACACCTTCACAGCCCAAACCTGTCAGACCATCAGGTCACAGAATAACTACAAGAGAGCAGCCTTGATGAAGAGGATCAGGTGGGCCTGGGCTCAGAGCTGGGCCACACCCTGGGCATTTGTTCTCCTTCCAGACTATAATTTATGGTGATGCCTGGGGTGGGTCCTGTGGCTGATGGTTGTCAGAGAAGCAGGGCTGGTCCATCGATGGTCCTTCTGTCTTCATGCAACCCTCCTGCTGGCCCCTCCTGCTGGGGTATCTAGCACCCAAAGGTGTTGCAGGGGCCACAGCGGGGGCGGGGGCCACAAGGGATGCAGGGATTGGTGATGCAGGACCTGTCACCCACGTTGCTCGTGGCGCAAGGGTTGCTGGGCAGCCTGTGACACAGAAGCATTAAATCATCAGCATGAGAGGGATAATAAAGAATTAAAAGAAGGAGCTCAACCCAAGGAGACATGGGAACAAGTGGAAAGCATTCTCTGATGTCTTAGGAAGTCAAGCCTTGTTCGATCACTACTTCTGTAAGGCTCAGAGACGATGGTGGATAAGAGCAAAGAAGACTTAAGGTGGAATCCCAGCCCTCGCTCTACAACCCTAGAGTCGTGGGGAAGGAAGTCACTTCATCCCCCTAAGCCTCAGCCTCCTCACGTGTAAGATGGGATTGGTAATACCCACCACAGAGAATTTGATCATAAAAACACTGTGTGAGGTGACAAGTGCTAGACCCTATGAGTTATTGAGTCATCTTCCCTTCCAATATTCAAAGGCTCATCTATAAGATGGTTACACTGATCCCCACTCTGCCTGCCTTGGTTGATTCCAGTAAGGATCAATGAAACAGTGGATTTGGGTTAAATCCGAAAGCACTATTCAAATATGCATGATTGTTGTCGCAGTTTTGTTTACCCTTTTGCTGTGACAGCCAACCCTGACGATATAAAGCTTTATTTATCCCTCAGCATCCAAAGGCTCACCAGTGGGGAAAACAGTCAAATCTCACCAGTATCTGTTGGAACAGCAAATACCTTTAGGCCAGGTAACAAGAGCAGCCAATACCCATCACCTCTTGCTGCTGTAATCTAAAACACTGGTCTCTACAGACATATTGGCATCTGAAACTTGACCTGCAAAGTCCCTGTTTTAGCCTTTAGTAGAACTGTGCACGTGTCTTGCAGGGGTGCTGCCTGCTGGGTACTCACTTGCAGTCCTCGCTCTCCAGCAGGCCCCGGTACGTGTTGATCTCACTCTCCAGCCGGGCCCGGACGTCCAGCAGCACCTGGTACTCCTGGTTCTGACGCTCAAGGTCACTCCTGATCTCCGCCAGCTGGGACTCCACGCTGGTGATCAGGCCCTGCACCTGGGACAGCTGGGC